TAATATAGTAAGTAATAAAAGCTACAATGAAGAAAAGTATAGGACCCAGTGGATTTACAGCTAAATTTTACCAGATCTTTAAAGAAGAACTAACAGCAATGCTCCCCAATTTTTTTTCGTGAAATGGAAAGGAAAAATTTCCTTTAAATTCATCTTATAAAGGCAGAATTACCCTGATATGAAAAATGGATAAGGATTTAACTAAAAGGAATATTATAGACCAATTTTCTTGATGAGACAAGAAGTCAAATCCTCAATAAGATCCTTGCAAACAGAACTCAATAATGCATTTAAAAAGATCATAACCTTAACCAAGCTGGTTTCATTCCAGGGATGCAAGTATGGCTCAACATACTTCAATCAATAAATACAGTACACCACATAAACAGAACCAATGGTAAAAACTGTATGATCATCTCAAAAGATGCAGAAAAAACCTTCAGCAAAATACAACATCCCTTCATGATAAAAGTCCTGAAAAAATAGTCATAGAAAAATCATTCTTTGAATTAATGAAAGCCATCTATATGACAAACTTACAGCCAACATACTAAATGAGGAAGAACTGAAAGCCTTTCTTCTAAAACTAGGAATGAAATGAGTCCATTTTAACCACTCCTGTTCAATATAATACTCAAAAAGCTGGCCAGGGCAATTAGGCAAGAGAAAGAAAGTATACAAATAGGAAAATAAATCAAATTATTCATTTTTGCAGAGGGTAAGACCCTTTATGAAGAAGCTTCTAAAAACTACACCAGAAGACTCCTAGGACTGATAAACAAATTCATCAAAGTGGCAGAATATAAAATTAATACACAAAACTCAACATCTCTCCTCTACATCAATAATGAATAAGCAATCATGAAAACAAGTATATTCACAATAGTTTAAAAAACTTTTAGAAGCAAGCTAACCAAGAAAATGAAAGACCTCTATAATGAAAATGACAGAATGCTGAAGAAAAAAAATTTGAATAAGACATTAGGAAATGGACCTTCCTAGTTTATGGATCAGCAAAACTGATAGTGTTAAAATGATCAGGTCAGAGATCCGGCCATGGTGGGACTCAGGCAGCTTATTCACTCGCTGTCTTGGTGAGTGCCCTAATGAGGGACAGGGGGAGAACCATTACCTGTGAGCCTACTGCCACGCGGGCTGAAAATCAAGCCCCCTTCCCTCGCCCCTTCCCCATAGCTACTGGGGATAGATGTCTCAGCATGTTTTGGGAGGATGACCATATGCAGTATAGCAAATAATGGGGGATTTCCTTCTATCTTCTGTTTGAAGGCAAAGGTTGTTTTCACTGTTTTGTTTTGTTATGTTTCTTTTGCTCTATTCAGTATTCTCAATTGGTTTTATAATGTTCTATTTTTGGTTTGATTTTGCTATACCTAATTGACTGGACAACTATTGTGAAGTTAAAGAGATATGCCATAGTACCTATTACTACTATCCCAGTATCCTACTGTGAATCCTGTACCAATTTCACTGCATTGTCTTGATTGGCTTTGTTCTGTCTTGTGCTATTGCATTTTTACTACTTTCAAAAAAAAAAATAAAATGGTCATATCATGTAACTTTTCTTGTTGCGGAGACAAAATTCCCCACATTCACAAGTCAAAGGAGGAAAAGTTTATTTCAGTTCACAGTTTGTGGAGGTTTCAGTCCATAATTGGCTGATTCCAAGGGTGGCATGGCACAGGGACGGGTGGAAAAGAAACAGTCCCCAGAAAGACAGGCAGAAAGTAGCAAGCAGAAAAAGAAGCAGAAATAGCAGCAAAGCAAGCCTCTGTTTCTTCTTCTTCTTTTTTTTAAAATCCCATCCAGGATACAATGGATAATAGTCAGCCTTCCCTTTATCTACACCCAGAACTATGCCAATTCCAGTCAGTGGACAACTGAGTACCACTTACCTTAATCCCAGTATTATACTCCCGGGATCCAGGCAGCTCCAAAAAGCCCCACCTAGGAGCACATGAGGCTTTGAATACCAGTCATAACATCATATTGCCAAAAGTGATTTACAAATTCAGTGGGGTTTCTATTAAAATACCAACAACATTCTTCACAAAATTAGGTAAATATAATGCTAAAATTCATAGGTAAGCATAAAAGCATAATGCAGTACTGAGCAAGAGCAATGCTAGAGACACCTGAGTACCTGGCTTTAAATTATACTACAAATCCAAGTAACAAACACAACAGTGTCATGCATAAAAAGCAGGCTTGTAGACCAATGAAATGAGATAGAACATATAAACCAACACACCTCCATTTTATTTTTGACAAAGAGGACAAAAACATAAGCTGGAGAAATGACAACTCCTTTAATAAACAGTGTTAGGGAAAACTGATGTTGACATGCAGAAGACTGAACCTAAATACCTATTTCTCATCCTGTACTAAAATCACACCAAAATGGATCAAAGACCTAGATATAAAACTAGACACTTGTAAACTCCTAGAAGAAAACATAGGGAAACATTTAAAAGTCATAGACGCAGGAAACTTCCTGAATAGGATCCTAATAGTACAAGAAACAATAAGTCAATAAATGAGACTAAATAAAGTTAAAAAAGCTTTTGTATAGCAAAAGAAACAATAACTTAAAGTGACAGGCTATAGAAGTGAAGAGTCTTTGCTAGGTACTCTTTAAATAGATTATATAACTCAAAAAATTTGAGTATATAACTCAAAAAATTAATGCCCCAACACAAACAGTCCAATCAACAAGTGGGCAAACTTACTTAACAGACTTATTTAATAATTTAATTTTTCAAGAGAATTTCAAGTGGCAGTAACTGTATGAAGTATGTTTAACAGCTTTAGTTACTAGGGAAATGCAAGTCAAAATTACATTCAGAGTTTATCTCATTCCAATCAGAATGGCTAATACCAAGCTTACAAAAACAGTACTGGTGAGAATGCAGGGTGAAAGGAAGCCTGCTATGTCAGTAAGATAGTACTAGCAGAACTGTACTGTCAATACTAGCAGGACCACTATGGAAATCAGTATGAAGCTTCCTCAGAAAACTAAAAATAGGAATGCCATATGACCCAGCTATACCACTCCTTGATATAGTCCCAAATGAACTAAAGATAGCATATTGCAGTGATACATGTATATTCATGTTTGTAGTAGAGCAATTCACAGCCTGAGCTATGGTAAGAGCCTAGGTACCTGTCAATCGATGAATGGATAACAGAATGTGTTATGCTTATACAATGGAGTACTATTTGGCCATAAACAAGATGAAAATCATGACATTTGCAGAAAATGAATTAAATTGGAGGCCAGCATGTTAAACTTGACAGAAGCCAGCCTCAGAAAGTTAAATACTGCAATTTTCTCTTAAATGAGGAATCAATGAATAAATCAATAAAAGATACTAAGAAACTAAAGGTAGACTTAAAGATAGGGAGTGAGGCGGGAGTGTGAAGAAAGGGAGAGAGGTATAATGAGGATGAACATAATAAAAAATATGTTGTATGCAGGTACCAGTGTACCCAAAGGAATCTTATTATTTTGTCATGCTAATATGTACCAATAAAAAGTTTGTTTATGCATATTTGTTCTCTTCCCCTGCAGTCTCTCAGCTACTAGTCTTATAGCTCCATAGACTGGACTTAGCTTGGCTGAGGGTGGTCTGAGAGTTGGTTGTTTTCACGTTTAAAAAAAACTCAAGACAAAGAGCCACAGTGGCAACCCAATTTTAGGACCTTTCCTGTCTCTCAGGAGCTTTCTCTCATTCACTGTTGCAACTCTTAACCTCTTCTGTCCTGTGTCCATTCTTTGGCTATCTAGAGCCATGAACTTGGGCATATCTGACATTTATCAGATGGGGAGTCACTTCCCTGTGACAGTGACACTCCTTTATATGATTGGCAGAGGTGAAGGTTCTGAAAATCTCTTCATAGGTCTTCTGGCAATAGCTAGTTAAATAAAGTTGAATAAATGATTACACATCCAAATAATTAATTTATTTATTGAGCCATCTGCATTTTCCAAAAGAAATTATTATTACATACAACAGAAAGCAAATTACACAAGGAGAGTTACAGTGTTTTGGCAAAAGGATTTACTATTTACCTCTGTCAAGGTGCCAATTTACAAGTTCACAGTTATGGGGGGTGGATTTTAGGACAAAGAACAGAGGGTAACTTTTCACTCAATTTCCTTTTGTACTTTGAAATTCATTACCAAGTGCATGTGTTACAGTTCTTCTTTAGATTTATTTTAGAATTTACTTATTTTTGTAGTATTGAGGACCCAACTAGGACTTTTTGCATGCAAGCAAGCACTTTACTACTAAGCTGCATCCTGAGTTCTATAACTTTAATTCTGAGATAACTGCAGGCTTATAAATTTTCGCCCGTAAATTCACAGTTGACTTCTCACAATCCGCACCCTCTGCCCCGCAGTTCTCCAGTTCTCCAGGGCCTAGTTGGTGTTGACAACTTCACACCAATTTCTACCACAACACATCTGGTTTAAGGGGATGTGAGCAGTGAGAAATTCGAGATGTGTGTGTGTGTGTGTGTGTAAGAGGGCGGTGGATATTTACTTTTCGTTATTTTTTACATACACTCCTGCCCACCTCCCAAACCCGGACACCCTCACTTTCGGCCTACCACTGTCCCATTCTACGCTATAAATTAACCCCGGGTCCTCCAGGAAGTCCAGCGTTTCTGCTCGAAGGGAGCAGGAGCCGGGCGAGAAACAACTCCAGATACAGTATTTAGTGATGGGTGAACTGTAACGGAAGCGTTGATTTCTTCTCTCAGTTAAACAAAGATACAACTATATACACCAAGGTAATGGAGAAAGACGGACCCTAAAAACGTCAGGAACGTTCAGAACGAAGCAAATTTAAAGTGGAATCCTCCTTACTTTAAAGGGACTGGACCGCCGCGCACTGCATGTTGGGATCTGTAGTTCCTTCTTGAGCGGGCAGCAGCGCGCATGCGCACATGCATGGGCAGTCTTCTGCGCGCATGCGTACGGCGGCGGCGCCAGGACTGATTGTAGTTCAGAAGGTGGCTACGATTTTGGCATGGCGGTGCCTGCGACAGCTATGGGCCCCTCGGCGCTAGGCCAGAGCGGTCCGGGCTCCTTGGCCCCCTGGTGCTCAGTGAGCAGCGGCCCGTCGCGCTACGTGGTTGGAATGCAGGAGTTGTTCCGAGGCCACAGTAAGACGCGCGAGTTTCCGGCACACAGTGCCAAAGTGCACTCGGTGGCCTGGAGCTGCGACGGCCGTCGCTTAGCTTCGGGATCTTTTGACAAGACAGCCAGTGTCTTCTTGCTGGAGAAAGACCGGTTGGTGAGCTGCTGGGGCCTGGCCCTGGCCAGAGAGAAGGCTGTGACGTGGGAAAGGTTGGGTTTGGGGTGGGGACGGGACGGGAGTGTGCATGGTGGGAGGGAAGAGTTTGGGGCGGGAGGAAGGGGAGACGTGCTGAGGGGGAAGATCGGGATATGTAGGGAGTGTGTTAGTGAGATGTGGTGCTGGGTGGGGGGTGCTGTAAAGAGTGAATGAGACTTGGTGAAGAGGATAGATAGGACAGGGGAGGTCGTGGTGATGAGTGAGGAGCTTTTCTTGGAGACCCTGTGGTCGTAATTGGGTGACCTTTGGAAATGGGCGGGTGGCTTAGGGTTAGGGTTAGGGTTAGAACCACAAAGGAGGTCAGGGCAAAATGGAACACCTATTGTGGGAGAGCAGAACAGTTTAGAGTGATTGAGGAGAGGAAGGAGAATCCTGAGGGTTTTGGATCTTCTCTTGGGAGTGCTGGATTCTTTTGAATTATCCAATTCTTTGTTAGACCCATACTGCCCTGATCTGAATAAGGATAAGTTGCACTCAGAGGCAGCTACATCTGTGTGCAGTGACATCTGGATTGTATTCTTTCAGGTCAAGGAAAACAATTACCGGGGACATGGGGATAGTGTGGACCAGCTTTGTTGGCATCCAAGTAATCCTGATCTCTTTGTCACGGCATCTGGAGATAAAACCATTCGCATCTGGGATGTGAGGACCACAAAATGTATTGCCACTGTGAATACTAAAGGTAACTATTTAGAGAGAAGGCTTTAGGAAGATAAGCTTACTTGTATTCATTCAACAACCCTTCACTGAGTATGTTCTCTGTGCGTGACATTCAACACTGAATATGTTCTTTGGGCCATGTTTGCTAGCTGAATAAGGTAGTCTTTACCTCGAACAACCTTGTGGTTTAATGTGGGCAGAGACATAGACATAAAAATAACAGCGTGACATGGTTTGTCCTATTATAGAGATATTTACAAATGGATAGCCAAAATGGAAATTTATATGTCTTCATGGAGGAGGCAAAGAAGGCTTCATAAAATTTGAGCACTCTTCTTTTGTAGCCATAGTAATGTAATGGTCAGGGTGTAGTGGGTGAGGAGAATTTGGGAAGTTCTGATAGACTGATGTGACTAGAGCTTAAAGAGCCTTGGTGATCTGGAAGAAAATGACCAGAAAGTGTGTAGTGCATATATAGACTGTTCATATCGGGTATTATTTGGTAAATCTTGAGACCATTTGTTATAATTGATTTGTCATTTAACGTTAGTTGCACTATTTTATGTGGTAAGGTGCGAGATAACCATATAAAATTTTGACAAATAACTAGATAAAATTTTATGATGCACCATAGATAAAATGTAAAAAAAAAAATATGTGCACACATTTTTGTGATAGTGGGGATGGGACCCTGAAAAAATAAACACTTTGCATTGATAAAATTAACAATTTTTAAAATAATTTTTTATTTAGAAAAAGCAAAACAGAAAAAAGGTTAGAAATAATACAGAGTTAAAAAAAAAAAAACCAAGAAATCACTACTTGATAAATTGCTGTCTTAGAAGTAGTTGTTCAGATTACAAAATCAAAGCATAACAAGTGGACAGTCAATGACCTTACAAACTATTCTATTTGATGAACTAACAAAAACTTAGTAGTGTGGTTATCTGTCTTGCAAACTTATACGTATAGTTATATCCTTTAGAGCACTTTCTTTCTCTTTCATTACTATACTATCATACATTTTGGATCTTGAAAAATTAAAAAGGTCATATCACAGAGATATATGTGTACCCATGTTTATAGCAGCCCATTGTAATAGATAAACCTTGAAAAAACCCCAAATGCGAACAAAGAGAACATGGCGGACAGACAACAGCAGCTACTGAACGCTCTCTAAAGGCTCGGCTCAGAGGCCAGGAATGATGCGGACTAAGGAGATACGAACCAGTAGAGATATGCTCTGCTGACTCAGGAACGAACTGGGCTGAGAGAATCCAACTTGGAATACAGTCCTGGCGCTAAAATAGGAACAGAAAAATCTCGGTGTGGAGGCTCGACTCCGCGCCATTGGAAACCGCGGTTTGGATTTCCGCCGCCACGGTTTGGATTTCCCGCCCCGCCCGGCGGCCGGCTGCCTCCATAGCGGCTCAGCAAGAAGAGACGCGACCGCCGAGCTCTGGGAACGGGAGTTTGCGAACGGAGTCGGAAACGCGACGGACAGGGAGGAAGGCTGACTGGTGGCGAGGTGAGCGAGGAACTGACTCCCTACCGCAGTTTGACTCCAGCGGAGGTTTTTTCTGGGCTCGGGCAGTCCTGTAAGAGCAGGGCGCAGTGGCAACTGCAGCCGCACATTTCCCTCTCGGACGGGATTGGTGAAAGGTGCCTGGCCGGAGTGACGCTGCTGGCGGACTCCCTAGGCTGGCCTAGCCCAGATCCCAGAGCCTGACGGTGGCCCGGAGGAGCGACCGACTCCCGCGTAGGCTGCCTCCTCCGCAACTCCCTGGTGCGCAGCGGTGGGCGGGAACACCTACCCAGCGCAATTTGATCAGGCTGTGGCTGACAGGCAGGGAAGCCGGGCCTCCTGTGTAAGATTGCATTTTATAAGGAACAGAAAATATGGGGAAGGGAAGCAACAAAAAAGGCTCCCCGGCCCCCAATCCTGAGAATCAGGCAATAGTGGACACTGCACCAATATACATTAAGCGCCATTTAGAGAGCCTCATAGACCAATTCAGGAATGAAGTTATCAATGACCTGAAGCTAGAAGTATGCAGAATAGTTAGAGAAATGCTAAGCACCACCCAGGAAAAAGCAGATGGTGGAATGGAAGAACAGGAAAAGAGGGGAGAATTGCTTGATGGAGAAAACAGAGAAAGCATTGAGTATGTGAAGCAGGTGCAAAGGGACTATCAAGAAATTAAGAAGTCTACCCAAGACTGGCATAACAGCTTGAAAGAAACTAAGGACAGACTATCTGAATTGGAGGGCAGACTTGAAACATGGGAGAATGAAATGAAAAACTTCTTAAAAATAACAAAGAAACACACAGCAATAATACAAAGACAAGAAGATGATAAGAGGAGCCATAACTTAAGGATTAAGAACATAAAAGAAGAAGTAGGGACACAAACAAGTGAACTACAAAAGCTACTCACAGAAATAATCCAGGAGAATTTTCCCAATTTAGCAAAAGGTAAAGATACTCAAATGTATGAGGCATACAGGACCCCAGCTACCTACAACCCTAACAGAGAAACACCCAGGCATATAATAATAAAAATTCCAGAAATTCAATACAAGAACAGAATATTAAAAGCTGTAAGAGACAAGAAACAGATCACTTACAAGGGAATACCCATCAGAATTACAGCAGATTTCTCTTCACAAACCATCAAATCACGAAGAGCATGGGGAGAAATAATTCAAGCTTTGAAAGATAATAATCTCCAGCCAAGATTGAGATATCCTGCACAACTGACCCTGGAAATTGATGGAAAAACGAGGTGCTTCCAGGATAAAGAGGAACTGGGGGAATTTGCAACCACCAATTCAACCCTACAGAAAGTATTGCAGGATATTCTAAAAAAAGAAAAATACAAAGAACCCAGAAATAGGGGCGGGGAGGCCACAACGAATGGAGCAGAGAACAAAATGAAGAAGACAAACTGACAGCTACTGACAGAAAAAGAGCTCAACAGAAATGAGACAGAGAAGATTGGATGATAGGAACAGCTTTTTTTGGAGAAAATGACATCTTAATAGGTAATGCTGATTTAGTGCCATCTTGGTTTGAAGTCTCATCTAGCGTTTGTTTTTCTGTCTCCAATGGTCTAAACAGGTTGTATCTTATTGGATTTTGTTATGTACGATAGTATAAGAAAAAACCTTTTAAAGACAAGGAGATTATACAGAGACCATTGTTCATTTTCTGTTAGTCGATTCTAAATACTCTATAACGCTGTCATTCTCTTAAATGGATTTACATTGTTTTGATATACTTAATGCTACAGTATATGAAGTTGTACTCAAGGACTTCAGGGAGGGAGTCAATATGGTAACTATTTTTGGGTCAGGATTATCTGGTGGTGAAACACTATTCTGCTTAAATGGTTATGTTTTAATCTGCCCTGTTTCGCTGTTATGCCCTCTTTTTTCTCAATCTCCACTCCATTATTTACTTTTTTATTTTTATCCATTTAATTAAAGGGAAAAATATAGCAGGATATAATATAGTAACCCACTTTGACTTTCTATTATCTCGATTTGAAGCCCTGTATTACTCTCACCATCTTGTTTTTGACTGAGGTTCCTCTATTCTGTTTTGCTGGATAGTATCAGGTTCGAAAGTTTAGGCATCAGCTGAGAAGATAATGAGATTCATTATAACGCCCATTCTCGTTGACTTTTATCTACTTTTGAAGACCTACAATATCTCCAATGTTTTGGTTTTGTCGGTTTTATTCTTTACGGTTTTGTTCAATTGTAGTACAACTAATGGTATAGGCAATTCTATTAGAAATAGCGGGAGGCATTATGGTAACCATTGTTGATCACCTTGTATTATGTTTTTATATTATCTATTATGTCCACCCTTTTGACTTGACCGATTCTGTTCTGTTATGTCACATTTGGTTTTACTCTCTTCCAAAAAAAGCAATAAGAACTGTGGGAGCAATGAAACCCAAAATGTGTAATAGTCACTGTACAAAAGAGAGGAAAAGAAAGTGCTCTAAACTATATAACTGCATGTATATTTAAATGTATAAGATAGAAAATAATATCACAGAGTTTTATTGGATCATTGAACAGAACTGTTTGCAGTACCATTGTTGGAATGTCCACTCTACAAGCTTTAATTTTGTGACTTGAACAATTATTTCTAAGATGGCAATATGTAATCCATTAACTAGTGATTTCCTACTGCGCATTTTTTATTCTGTAAATCTGTATAACTTGTACCCCTTCACTGTTTTTTTTTTCTTTCTTTTCTTTTCTCCTTAAATTAAAAAAAAAAAAAAGAAAAAACCCCAAATGCCCATCAACCGCAGAATGGATGGAAAAGATGGTATTTTTATACAATGAAATATTACTCAGCTACAAAAAGGATGATCTTGAAGCTTTTATAGGTAAATGGAGGCAATTTGAGACTATCGTCATGAATGAAATAAATCACATTTGTAAATATCGTATTGTCTCTAGTATAAAAATAATAAAAAACTGAAAGATAAAATTTGTATGCTCAGTTTGGACTTCTGGACTTTGTTGATAAGTCTCATACCTGGAGGTAAAATGGTGTAGTGCTTTCACCATGTACACGAGATGAGTGATTTTAGATGATACATGGAGGAACATAAAAACCCATTTTGTCCATTAATTCCTACTAGAAGAAAAGAACTATCTCATAGAATTTTTTTTTAATTGAAGCTAAATTTAAGTAAATTTTTTGGAGTCAATTTTAAGAAAAGTTTTGAGTAAACTATAGTTCACTATTACATAGCTAGAACAAGAATTAGGAAGGTGGCATGTGAATGAAATTTAAGAAATACTAGTGGAAAGAATGAGGAGCTTTGGGCTCAATTCCAGGCATAAATTTTGACTATGTAACTTCCTAGCTTTGACAGCTTGGCACACTCTTGTCATTCACTTCCTTACTGTGGATATAAAGTAGCCATTAGAGAAATATTGTAAGGACCAAATGGGAAATTTAAGCATGATGGTGCTAGACTCAAGAGTTTATATTTGATGAGTGGTAGTTCTCTTCCATTGACTAGAGCTTTGAAGTTAGGTAAGTCTTTTAGGGTAACAGAATAAACTTCTGGAAGATTATGGGCAAACAGGTGATCTTGCTGATTCTATCTGGGTTTCCAGGGGAGAACATTAATATCTGCTGGAGTCCTGATGGGCAGACCATTGCTGTAGGCAACAAGGATGATGTGGTGACCTTTATTGATGCCAAGACACATCGTTCCAAAGCAGAAGAGCAATTCAAGTTTGAGGTCAATGAAATTTCCTGGAACAATGACAACAATATGTTCTTCCTGACCAATGGCAATGGTTGTATCAATATTCTCAGGTGAGAGGGTTCGAGCTTGGGAGACTGTCATGTTGTTGTTCTAGGTACCACAGTAGATGGAGAGATGAGTTAGACATGAGGCCCTGCAGAAGGACTAACAAGGTAAATGGTAATAAAAATATCTGGCTTCCATTAGGCACATTTGAACCAGTTACTTTATTACTTTATGGTGTTCTTAGAAATTTCAGGGGATTGTGTGCTTCATATTTGATAGATCTGAATTCAGAGAGCTTAAGTGACTAGCTAAAGGATAATAGGACTACATGTACTTTGAATTGTGGCTAATTTCTTCTCTTTAAACTTTCAATGTAAATACCACTTTTCTGCTAGTGAAGTCATCTCCATTATTCCCACTCCCTGGGTTACAGGCTTATTTTATGTACTTCTGTAAGGAGCATTTCTCATTCTGTTTTATAATTACATGTTTACTTACCTATCTTCCCCTTTACACTGTAAATTCCTTAATGGTAGAGGTTGTGTTGTCATGTTTACTACTGAATGGCTAACCCATTATTATTGTAGTAGCACCTTAGTAAATATTTGTTTTCTAAATGAAATTGTGGAATTGGAATTCAGGTCCATTCAAGTCTATTCTTATTAGTATCCAGTGAATAGTGGAAGGCACAGTGAGATAGGTTCTGTAGTAGAAAGGCAAGATGTTTGCTATGGAATTCCCAAAAAGAGCATTTAATAATGACTGTGGAGGCTGAAAGAGCTTGATCTTAAAAGGTGAATAGAATTTAAGAATCAACAAATGAGAAGCACCCAGCTGACAAAAAAACTATGAGTAAGCATGACATATTTGGAGAGTAGTTAGGTCAAGATTGTTCAGGTTGGTGACAGGATGTGAGAAGAAGTTACAATAAAGTGAATATAATGTTGGATTTGTGACTCGCATATAAAAGGTCTTACATTTTGTACCTGTTAACATGGATTATATTTTGTAGTCAGTAGGGATTCTCCCACTTGAAAAATAAATCTTAAAAGTAACGTTATAGAGTACAGATTTAAAATTACATTTGATAAATGTACAGTTCAAGCCAGGTGTGGTGGCTCATGCCTGTAATCCCAGCACTCGGGAGGCTGAGGTGGGAGAATCCTCCCAAGTTCGAGACCAGCCTGGGCTACAAAGTGAGCTCAAGGCCAGCCTGAACTGCATAGCGAGATCCCATCTCAAAAAAGACAAAAAAAGTATAGTTCAATGAATTATTATACTTAACTCCACCTAAATCAAGGTATAGTACTTTCTAGTTACCTAGGAAGTCCATCCATATGTTTTGTCCTAATCACAGCTGTTTCTCTCAAAAGTAAACACTGTCTCGACTTTTATAGTTTCTTTATAGTTTTATTTACTAAAAGTACATCCTTAGATGCTCTAAGTTTGTTTATTAAAAGAAATGATAAGTCCTTTGAATCTGTTAGACTACACTGCCCTGCTCAATTGCATTCTTTCCCCTTCCAGTTTAGATACTGAAACCTAGACTAAGCCTGTTCACCAATGGAGAATCTCCCAGTCTGTGGTTCTGATTTCATGGGCTTATTTGTTGGAGTACATTTATAAAGTAATACGTTCTCTCATCTACTATTTGGTTACCCATTAATATAGTCATTTAGGAAAGGTGGGATCAATTCTTAAATATTTTTGTTTGTTGTCAGATAGTGAATTAGTTCCCTATCACTTGCAAAGATAGCCAGTTAAGTTTTTTTCTTTTCTTTTTTAAAAAAAAAAAATCATTATTGATTTGTTTTTAAACATAGTTGAATATTCTTTAGTCTATTGTAATAATTACCTGTATTGAAGCACAGCAGATCACCTCATCTTTGACGAGTCAGAGTCTCTTCAAGTTGACTTCTGAATCCTTTTTTGACATATTCCTAGTAATCTTCTGTTTCTTGGTCACTGGTAGGATAAGATTTGCCAGGTTCATCTTTTATCTTTCCTGCCCCGTTTCCTGACCAGAAAATCGTCTTAAGCAGCAGTGGATTGTTTTACAGGGAAAGTAATACTGAAGCTAGGGGTGTCTGTTACCGCTGGGTTGGTCATGGCTTCTAGGTATTTCTAGTGCACAAGAATTGTGTGTATGTGTGTGAGTGTGAGTGTGTGAATTTTTAAAAACATATTTCAAGATGAAATACTTTGTGAATTTATGATTATAACTTCCACTTAAAACTTATGACTATAGGTTTTTTACTAAACCTCTTCTGTATAATAAATATCTTTCTTTCTTTCCAAACTTAGTATTTTGGTTCTCAAGAATACAGAGAATTACAGAACTTGTATATCTTATTTTTACTTTTTGCTTTTATTCCATTTTACACATACAGGTGACATAATGACCAAACTGTAGTAGTCACAGTGTGATTACTCTAAATTGCAAAAAATTGTGCTTTTTCTGTATACTTTCTCTATTTTTCCTTCATTTAAAAATATACTGCTGTATATTGTCAGAATGTACAATTACATGTTACAGTCTTTTAACCATGTATAGTTTCTTGAAGAACCTCTTATACTTTTAAAGTCTTTGGTCATTTTGATTGTTGAAGTTGTGTAATTAAGATTCCTTAGGAAGGATTCATGGGAATATTATTGCAGAGGTTTATTTGTTTGTTCTTTTGAGACAGGATCTTCTTGTGTAGTCCAGACCAGCTTTGAATTCACTTAGTAGTTCAGGCTGGCCTCAAATTTGTGATCCTCCTGCCTCAGCCTCCAGAATACTGGGATTATACATGTATCAGTGTGCTTGGCAATTCCCAGAGAGCTTTCAACTTATTTACGTACTTAAAAAACTTACACTTTCGTGTGTTCAGTAGTAGTATTTGATAATTGTACAGGATGTAAAAATCTTTGACATATTTTTTTGCTTATGTTATCTTAAATATGCTATTCCATTTTCTTTCCATTTTTTTTTTTTTTTGACAGTGTCTTACTGTTAAAAAGTCTGCCCATAATCTAGTTTCCTTTTTCTGTAAAATGTGGTAATTTTACTGCTGTGTCTTCATGTTGGATGCTTGGTCTGGATTCTTATTCTCATGTGGTTTTAGGCCTTTCTTTCTTTCTTTTTTGGTATTGGGGATTGAACTCACGACCTCGTGCTTGCCAGGCAGGCACTTAGGGTCCTGAGCTAAATCCCTGGCCCTAGGGCTTTTCTATATATAACTTGAACTCTTTTTTTTTCAGGAAAGTTTCTTGAATTATGGTTTTTGTATTATTGTCTTGCTTGTTTTCTTCAGTGTTTTCTATTACTTTCTAAATGCTTCAGTTCTTTTCTGCAGATTAATTGCTGTCTGTCTTGTTTCTCAGCTACCCGGAACTGAAGCCAGTACAGTCCATCAATGCTCATCCTTCTAACTGCATCTGTATCAAGTTTGACCCCATGGGGAAATACTTTGCTACAGGAAGTGCTGATGCTTTGGTCAGTCTCTGGGATGTGGATGAGCTAGTGTGTGTGCGGTGCTTCTCCAGGTATGCCACTGTGCCAGCGCTGTTCTTGTTGGGTAAATTAATTTTATTTCATCCTGGGTAAAATGTTATCCTCCTCTTTTTGGGTAATTCTGACATCTTTGTCCATTCCTGTTACAGGCTGGATTGGCCTGTGAGGACCCTCAGTTTTAGCCATGACGGAAAAATGCTGGCGTCAGCTTCGGAGGATCATTTTATTGATATAGCTGAAGTAGAGACAGGTAAATGAATAAGCATTCCTGCTGTCTTCCTCACTGGACACAGGCCCGCTCTTGTTACATGTTTCCCACTGCACATTATTATGTCACCAACATTTTAAGAAATTGTCTCTTTAAGACATGTCTGTGTTCTGATTGTCACTGCTAGGTAATGAAGGGGCAAAGGTATAGCAAAGAAATTGACAGGTCTGAAAATTGATGTAGGGGAATATTTTGTATTTCATTAACTTTTAATTCTCCCATTGTAAAGATTTTACAATGTCATAAAGTGGAAAAAAGCATCAGCCTTCCAAATACATCTCTTTTTTTAACATTGTGGTATATTTCTGTCTTTTTCTTATATATAAATTTGAAGCTTCCCCAAAATATTTAAGGAAATATCAAATTTTTTGCTTTAAAAACAAAACAATGCTGCATGTGATTTGGAGGGGAGGGAGTTAGGATGAGGCAGGAATATCGTGTGAGTTTGAGGCCATTCTGGATTATATAGCAAAACCATTTTAGAAAACCAGACCAAAACAAACAATAGCAAATCTCAACAAAATTTGATTGTAGAAAAAATGGGAGGAATATTCATTATGTAAGACAATTTCCTTAATTTTTTAAGTGTAACTTTATTATATGTGTTGTTATGCGGTATTTAGTAAAAGAATCCAAACTATGTAGAAAACTTCCAACAAGAAAGAGAACTTAAACGTGCACTATTTAAAGAATGCCTGTTAATAATCTGGTGAATTAAATGAATTAAATTATATTTAATCACTTATTGGTTGTTATTTAAATTGAAATTCAAATTTGAGTTCCTCAGTCACCCTTGTCACATTTCAGGGACTCAGTAGCCACAAGTGCTTCAGGACAATTGTCCTGGCCATTGCATGGTTCTGTTGTACAGCACTGCCCTATGTGCTTTACCTCGGTGCTGTTTGAATTGTATGAAATAACAAATATCTTCATATGTTGGTTTGTAAATTTAGAATAATATGTGTGCTTATTACATTTGGAAAATGCTAAAATATAAAGAAGAAATTGTCACCTACTGGACAATAGTTTAAGGATGATCATTATTAACATTTTAAAATATTTCTTTGCCATCTGTTTTTTCCTCCCATCATATATGTATTTTTTTATGTTCGTAGAGTGAATAACATAGTAGATATAATTTTATATCCTACATATTTTAATAGTTAAATTAAGACAGGTTAAGAATTAATTTTAATTTTATTCCTGATAGTGTATAGAATAGTCTCATTTTAATATGGTTCAGTCAGGCCAGCTTCTCAGACAGCATACACATTGCATCAGTCTACTTCAGTTGTGATGGTCTGCAGTGATAAAGTTAATCTTATATGACACTATATATCATTCATGCTTTCCAGTATCAAGATGTTAAGCTTATAAAGCCACATAATCATTTGGAAGTATTTTAAGAGGCATCTTTTGATTTTCTTGAACTGTAAGTTTTTTTTATGTTAACAAATACAATAATAAATGACATGGAATTAAAAGCCTAAAGAGAAATTGAAGGAGGTATAGCAGCTTCAGAAACCATTCTTGGTGTCCATGTAACTCAGAAACTGTTTAGTTATTCAGCTATAGATAGCCAGCCCGTATTATTATGGAGAGTGATTTAGAAAAAATGGGAACTGTTTCTGAAGTCAATTGTTTTACAAAACTCATATATATATGTGATTTTGAATAACAGAATTCTCACTGTTTGACCACACTATAGACATTTGACTGCATTGTTCTTAACTCTTAGCACCGAAAAAAGTTGAGCAGAACTAAAGGAATAACTGCATTGAAAAGGTCATGTATAATTTTAATGAATCAGAGAAACAAAAGACAATTTCTTTTATCATGCAGGTTGTTAAACCCTAGACCTAGAAGATGCTAGGCAGGTGCTATACCACTGAGGTATATGTAAATCTAGCCTGGAAAAGGAAAACTTGGGGGGAAAAATCTTTGAAAGGCATTTCGATTTACTATATCTGTTTCTTTGAAGACACCAACTTCATGTACTCTGTTTCCATGAGATGTGACATTGTTAGGTCACTGTTTTTTATTATTAAACAGGGTTAAAATTATGCCTATCTTCCTGGGCTGCCTTTGGTATTCAATAAAATGTAAACCATATCATATTTAATGGTACTCAGTGAATGATAGCTGCTGTTACTGTTTTTCTGAAGGATGAAATAGGATTCAGACAAGAGGTGCTAAAATTAACCTTCCTGCCTTCACACCTGGCTTGTGTCCTCCTTGTGCCTCAGTGTTCTGCATAAAATAAGATAATGATTGTACCTATCTCATAGGATGTTTAATGGGTTACAGGAATTAATAGAGCTAAGTAGTGAAGGTGGCCTCGTATTATTAACATTGATTGGTTTCTTTATATTGATTTCTACAGGAGACAAGCTATGGGAGGTGCAGTGTGAATCCCCAACCTTCACCGTGGCCTGGCACCCCAAAAGGCCTCTGCTAGCGTTTGCCTGTGATGACAAAGATGGCAAATACGACAGCAGCCGGGAAGCTGGGACTGTGAAGTTATTCGGGCTCCCTAATGATCCCTGAGGGGAGGGCCCGGCAGAGACCTTACTTGGTGTAGCTTGCCGGTTCTTTTGGACTTGGTGTGCACCCTAAGTGTTTGTAAATTGGTATAAAAACCTTTGTCAGGTTGCCCTTCCAGTTCCTTTTCTGGTTTCGGTGTTAGCTGTTTGTGTTTCTCCTCAGCACATCAGTTATGTGATGTGCGCTCGGTAGGTTGTGCACTAGTGCTGGGTAGCTTGTCCCCTGGGGACGCTTTTCCTCTGATTTAGATCTGTGACAACCTTTGTTGTGCTTGGTGCCTCTTCAGCTATTTGTAGTTGCAAGGAGGGTGGGATAAAGATGGGTTTTTGATAATTAAAAAAAAATTTTTATATATAACTTAGAGAACTTAGTATTTAATAAAACTGAGTTTTTTATTATGGTACTTATAAGAATTTTTAAGTTATGAATTATTACAAGGAGATATTGCAGGTTTGTGTATTTTTTGTTTTAAATCTGAGAATTTAAATGTGATAGTTCTGTTTATATCTTAATAAAAAAACTATTAAAGTGTAGGGGGAACACATGCAGTGCATGGGTTACAGCAATCCTTAAAAGTCATCAATAGTTTATTTATTTTTTATTGAAACAGGCTTGCTATGTAGTTCAGGCTGGCCTTGAACTCACTACGTAGCCTAAGCTGCCCATGAACTCAATAATCCTTCTGCCTCAGTCTCCCATGTGCTGGGATTAGAGGTGTGTACCACCAAACCCAGCTAAAAGTCATTAGTTGTTTGTATGAGTGTAGGTATTCCTGGCCTCATTCTGCACAGATTTGTACACAGTAAATTATGACAAACACTGAGAAAAGTTACAGAGTAGAATAAACACAAAATCTGGGTAAGACAAATGCAAATAGAATAGCAAATTAAAACTAAGGATCTGCTTGAAAGATTTAACTGAAATTTTGGCTTTGAACTTGCTGGTGGCAAAGTGAAGAAGGGCCTAAGTCAGCTAATTTTTAGTACGAGAAAGAAAAACATTTGCTCCTCATGAGAAGCGCAGCTTTCTTAGTTCTTACCTCTAACAAATGGAGGAGAGCTGTTGTTTGTGAATGGTATTTTGGTTTGATTGTGTTTTAGTCTTCGTTGACATAAAAAAGAAAAGATAGAAATATAACCAAGTTATTAGAAAATTTGTGGAAAATTTTGGAAAAAGTAAATACAAATTTTTTTCATTTTTGTGAGACAGGGTCTCATTTTGCATTTCAGGCTGGCCTAGAGCTGACTTTGTAGTTTAGGCTGGTCTCAAATTTGCAATAGTCCTCCTGCTTCAGCCTCCCAGGTATTGGGATTACAGGCGTGCATCATCACACCCAGCTCAAAAGAGTTCTTAATGCCAAGAGACAACCATGATGAGCACTTTGTAACCATGATTAGAAATTTTTCCATGATCGTATGTATGTATAAAAACATTTACTGTCATCAGATCCTTGAAGGGTAGGTAGCTCAAGTATGACAGGGTAAATTAGGGAAGGTGGCCAGCACATCGGTGTGCTCTGTTACACATACTCAGGAAGTCTTAAGAGAAACTTTCAGCTACTGGTTTTTTGCTGCATCTGATGCTGTAATGACCACATTATATTGGTTTGAGCAGGATGTTTTCACCAGTTCAACTTGAGGTCCTGCATCATGTGGTCGTATTCATGTCTAGGTTTGTTTGAAGGCCCATATCCCTTCTGTTTGCAGTGGGTGTCTGCAGCTATTGCCCTTCCTATTTCACAGACGAGGAAACCTTGGTTCTGAGAAGTCACCCACTGGCTAGGTTTGTAAGTGACCTGTTGAACTTGCTCTTAGACTTGGTAGTGTTTCCTCTGGCCCTCCAAAGGCTTCTGTTGCCTGCCTTCCCTGAAGGATGATGTTTACAGATATATCCCAGCTTGTCACCTCATTATATCAGAAGTTCAGTGTCATTCATGTCAGTGCAAATAAAGTGACACATTTTTCAGGCTTTTGCAAAGATTTTTCATACCTATGTTTGCTGCTGTTTACATATTCTTTTTTTTTCTTCTTCTTTTTTGTCTTTTTGAGACAGGGTCTCACTATGCAGTTCAGGCAGGCCTTGAACTCACTTTGTAGCCCATGATGGCCTTGAACTTGTAACGATCCTCCTGTCTCAGCCTCCTGAGTGCTAGGATTATAAATATGAGCCACCAAGCCTGGCTAAAAGGTTAAATATGGGTTTTTTTTTTTGCACTGGGGATCAAACGTATAACCTTGCGCTTGCCAGGCATGCATTTATGCTGTTGAGCTAAATCCCTGGCCCTGTGTTTGTATATTCTAGGAATTTGGTCTTGATCTTAATATTTGATTGCTTCTCTTCCTTTCTGTCTATAGAATTTTTCTTCTCTGAGTTTAAGTAGTGGTCTGTACCATCTATGCTTTAAACAGAGTTTTGTTTTTTTTTTTTTTTTTTTGCTTTTTAACTAGTAGACGCTTGTAGCAACAGGATAGTACCTGTGAGGAAAGAGCTCCAGCTTGTGCAGCCATTTCACACCAGCAGCATGTTGTGGATCCCATCTGTGGGCCTTGGCTGTGGACTCCTGGAGACCTTCAAGGTCCAAAGTCAGATCCATCCTAGGGAAATGACATGCATCTCAGGTCTTGCACCCTCCCCCTGTGATCTGAGTGAGCTTTTAGTTTTGCAGAGCTGGAACATGCCATTTGGCGCTACATCTGGCCATCTGTTAATATTTCAGTCTAGATACTGTGCAGCTGCTATTTCATACACTAGACATCCGAAAAGTGGTGAGGTCAGCTAAGAGCTAGACTTTTATTTGGCAGGGAAATTATTTGGCTGGGATTAGCTGTACCAATGACCTATTGCTATGTTGACTGGAATTTCTAGTCAGGCTAAGAAATGGGAAATTTATAGTCTATTTTGCCAAGATCCTTGCAATTCTGTGGCATCAGATCTGGGGCAGGATGAGCCATGCCAGATATTGAGCTTGTGCAAGGGATGTGTGTGCTTGGCTGGTGGTTCCATCCTAACCTGTGTGGGTATAAGATTTAACAGCTAGGGACCTAGTAGACCAGGGTCTTGGGAAGGCTGGAGCAGGAAGTCCTGGTGAGATGCAGGTGAATCTAAGTAATAGGTGAAACAAAATGCTGGCTAAGCTCTTCTCACAGGAGACTGCAGAATAGGGTACCAGAGAAGAAGCAGGAAGAGGGTATCCTAGGGAGGTCACAGAGGGGTGGCTGTGTGCATGAAGAGTTGATTGGAATGTGATGTGTGGGTGGGTTTAGCTTAAGGTAGTAGGTGTGCTCTTGAGCCCTTTCTTGTTTCAAAGATGCATTCTATTTCCTAAGGCTTGTAGTCACAAAAGGGATTGTGAAGTGTACTCTTTGGAAGGAAGAAAAAAAGCACATAGACAATTAAAAGGTGAGACCTATCCTCAGTCAAAGAGTAGAGATTGCTCATACAGAGTGCACTGCAAACTGAGGAATACTCTATATGTAGGTAAGACGTTGCCTTCTTTTCTTTCTCTGACACTGTAGTGCAGTGGAAATAACTGGATTGGAATCCTGGCTCTAGCAGTGATTGAGTTGAACGTACTTTTTTCATCCATAAAGTGTGAGGATATTAATCTCCTTGTCAGTGGGTTATTGGAAAAATGAGATGAGAGGAAGTATTTGTAAAGTATCTAGTATAGCACCTGGCACACGGGTGAGGGCAGTTTTGATAAATCCGTTCTTCTCTGAGGGAGAGCAGCTCTTAATGAGAATACAGTGGCTGGTGGCTGAGACCTGTCAGTCCCTCAGCTTGCTTGGCTCCCCATGCCATCTTAGTCATCTCTGGGGTGGGTGCTGTGGAGGAGGAGACTTACCCATCACACCTGGGCGTGATGGGAGGTACAGAGGAGAAATATTAGATCTGCTCTCCGCTTGAAGTCTGCGGGCTCATGATGGATGTGTGTGTATGTGAACAGATAGACTGTCTCAGGGCTACACACCGGTGGCTGAAAAATTAGGAGCAGACTAACGCTCGTTTAGCTGAGGCCACTAAGAAAGGACACGGTGGGTTCAGTGCAAGTCTTGAATACAATGTGTGTGAATACAGAGTAGAGGACATGTGTAAAGGGGCTTCTGCTCAAGCTAAGACACCAGTGCCCTGGGACACTGAGAAGTGTGAGGCTATGGCTGGCAGCATGGCCATGTGACTGGGAAGAAATGGGTAGATTTGGAATCAAAACTCCACTGTCAGAGAAAATTTGACCAAATTACTTTACTTCCATGATAATTGCTTTTTTAAAAAATTTTATTGTGTTGGGAATTGGACCCAGGATCTCACACATGCTTGACAAGTACTCTGCCACTGAATTACACCTCCTTCCCCAAGTTTTGCTTATCTTAAAATGTGCATAATAATATTGTGACTTATGATTAAGTTAGTTGACACATAAAATGCTTGGCACATTATTAACATTCAGTTAATAGCTATTTTTGTCATGTAGATATAGTACCCTATGTGTGTGCTGTTTATAAAGAGCTTTCAGTGTCCTGTCACTTTTTGTGCAAAAGTAGAGGTGTATAAACAATAGAATTTCATAAACAATGCGAGGTGAGTTGGAATTTGAATAAAGTGAGTATTTTTGGTTTTTTTGAGACAAGGTCTTACTGTGTGGTCCAGGCTGACATTGAACTGTCTATGTAGACCAGGCTGGCCTTGAACTTTGGTGATCCTTCTGCTTCAGCCTCCTAAGTACTAGGATTACAGGCATGTGCCACTGTGTCCCACAAGAAAATGAATGCTTAACATCTATTATTTAATGACTCTTACGGTTCAAATGTAAAATGGCCCTCAGTTATCTCAGGAATTCAGAGACAGGGCTTTTGGAAGGTGTTGGATCTTGGTACTATATTCATCAATTCATTGGATTCATACCTGAGTGTGCCTGTTGGAAGAGGTGTGTTGCTGTGGGCATGATCTTGTCATCATCTTCCTTTTCTCTCTTGCTTCCTAGCTCCTGTGGGATGTGCAGTGGTCTTCTGCTATGCCCTTCCACTATGCCATTTCTGCCTTGGAACTAGCCAACTGTGAACTGAATCTACTGGAATCTAATAAACCTCTTTTTTTACTTGTAGGTGTCAGATATTTTGTCACAGGGATAGGAGTGTGACTAATGTAGTTTGCATTCATAAAGACCTTCTTAAACTTAGGAATTATATATTAAAAACTTTGTAAAGAGTACAAATTTACTAACATTTTATGTTTGAAATTGTTGCCAACATAGTAAAAAATTATTGAGTTTTCTTATTTCTTTTTCATTTCTTTCTCTCCTCCTCCCTTGTTATGCTGAGTATCAAACTCAGGGCCTCATACTTGCCAGGCAAGCACACTATTGCTGAGCTATAATCTCCAAACTTAATTATTGAATCTTAGGACATTCAGTGTCACAGTCTTTTACCATTTAAGAACAGCAGCCCTTAGTATGAAAATATGCCTACCCACCCAGCAGTGTCCCATTAGGTCACTCGTGTACAACTTGGCCCTAGGTGAATCAAGAAGGCCACTGTGGATCCACAGAACAAGTGGGTAAACTTATGTTTTCTCCTGTGTTCCTGATAGTATCTCTAGGATGTAGTTCAGGGCATGGGGCAGATAGAATAATGAATCTGTAACAACATCTCAGAATGCCCTTGAGCACCAAAGGAGATCTGTGCTAGCACTTATGATTTGTATCTGGTTATCAACTGTGACTATACCTAGAGTGAGGGGTTCAAGTCAGTTGAAGATAGGCTTATGATTGATTTGTGATGGACCTTATTTCCTTCCAAATGGGAGCTAAAAATGTTTTGTTCAGCAAATGGAAAGGAATTTCACTGTCTTAGGTTCACTAAAAGTTAAACTCTTATGCTTTGTACAAAGAAAAGGGGGACAAATCAAACTACTGTGCCCATTTTACAGATGAAAACTAAGGTTCAGGGAGGATATAGAACCTTTCGAGGGTCAAATAGCCAAACTTCCTGAGTTTGTAGCAGCAGAGGCAACAAAGCAAGTGAATGACTCTCTAGAAAAATCAGAACTAAGTTTGTACATAACTAAAGAGATTATGACCATAATGAAGGACGTGGTTAGTAAATCTAGAGTAGATAAAGATTAAAAAAGAAAAAAAGAGCTTAGGAAAGTGATGGAAACAATGCATGCCCAACATAGGAAAGGACTGGATTTCATAAAACGGATTCAAACATATCCAGGAGATTAAAAATTCCATTGAGATTATACATGCAGAATCAAACTGTGAGGACAAAATATCAAATCTAGAAGACAGTTTTAGGGCTACTGATCATCAAATGAAAGACTTCTTGCAAAATAACAAAGGACCACATATGCATACACACACGCACACACACACCCTAGCAACTGCTAGATGATGCAAAGAATAACAGGATTAATTAGAATCAATGAAAAAAATCAGAAGATAACAAGCATAAAAACTGTTCAAAAAAATAATAGCAGAAAACGTCCCAAGAATAGGGGAAAAAATTGACATATAGGTAAGTGAAGCACACAGAACTCCAGTTAGCCATGATCAGAAAAAAAAAATAATCCACCAAAGCATACATAGTCAAGATTCCAGAAATTCAACATAAGAAAATGGTACAAACTGTTACAGAAAAACAAATCACCTATTAAGGAAAGCCCATCAGAATCACATGAGACTTCTCAAATGATTAAGTCAAAGAGAGTTTGGGGTGAAATATTTCAAACCCTAAAAGAAAACAGCTTCCAATTCACATTGATGTACCCTGAAAAGTTATCTTTAAGAATTGATGGAGAAATAAGATACTTCCATGATAACACGAAGAAATTTGTGACTACCAAACCAACATTTCAAAGAATTCTGAAGGGTATTATAGAAAAAGACTAATTCTATGAATCCCAAAAGAATAAATCCACCAGGTAAGGAAAGGAAACAAAAGAGAACAAAAGGCAACCAACAACAGGATAATATGACAAGGATAGGCCAGTGCATTTAAGCATCAAATAAATGGTCTCAACCCCTCCATCAAAAAGAAACAGCAGAGTGGATCATGAAACAAGATCCAACAGTGTTGAATGCAAGAAATATTTAAAAAGGAAATGCATAAAATGAAAGTCAAAGGATGGAAAACAATACTCCATGTGACAGAGATTGGGGAAAAAGGGAGGGATAGCTATTCCCTTTGCACACAGTGGATTTTAAGCCACAGCTGGTCAAGACAAATGAAGCTAACTACATACCTGTTAAAGGGCCAATCCTAGAGGAAGAGATAACGATTTTAAGTATATGTGCACCAAATACCAGCATAACCAACTACTATATAAAACCTCAGTGGATATAAAAAATGAAGCACTGTTATGGATTAAAAACTGGTGGTCAACTCAACAATAGCTGAATTAAATCAGTATGGTGCTGAGTGTAGATGACCCACCTCAGGAAAGTTGCTAGGATAAATAGAGATGTGGAGAAGAAGAGCTAGGCATTGTGGGTTCTCCTAAGTGCTGCTGTTTGAGCTTTTGGTTCTCCTGGAAGAACTTGTCATGACTGGCTTCCCCAATATGAGTTTGGCCAATATCATTAGAGGAGCTCAGGACCTTGTTGCTGAGAATGGCTGTGGTTTACTTTGGGGGAGCTCTGGTGCTTACATTGAGCATTGCTTCCTGGCTTGGGACCTCTATGTTGCTGAGTATGGCTGTGGTACCACTCTCTGTGCCAGCTACCATTAGGGGAGGCCCAGTATAGACACACAGGCTGAGAAAAGCAGCCCTGCCACCATGTGCCCCTGGCCATTGGGGAAGCCTCAGTGTAACTGCAAGAGTCTGGAGAAGCCTGCCCTACACCCTAGTCCCTCCCTGGGAACCTAGGGTCAGAGAAACCTGGGTACTTGTCCCATTCCCCTACACTGTGGAGGGGCAGCCAATGTGGGAAGTTCCTGGGACCCCACAACTGGCTTGTTGGGAGGAACCCAGGAAAATGTGAAGATAAGGGAGCAAAAGGCAATCTCAGACCTCTAGACCACACAGAACAAGACTATATAAATATAGACATGGAAGAAAATGGAGGTCACACACCTGAAATCTTTCAAAGGATAGCAACTGAAGAAACAACTTCATGAGACTGTAAAAGTAATTGGATCACAAACACAGTGAAAGAATTGCTCAGCATATTAAAAGAAGACAGATTTTTTAAAAAGCATAGGTATAGTATGGAAACCTTTAATGAACAACATAGGAAGGAATTATAATGCATGAAACAGATTTAAAGATTAAAAAGTTGATCAAAAGCTGGAAAAACAAGAGAATGAAGATAGGATCCCAGACTTTGAAGACAGGATCACAGCTAGCAATTGCAAAAGGAATGAACACTTAAAAATAACAAGGAACCAGGAAATAATTCAACAGCTGCAAGATGATGCAAAGAAAAATAAGAATGATAGGTATTAGCAAAAAGAAGGAGATCAACACAAATGAAATAAAAACTTTACTGAAGTAATAGCAGAAAACTTCCTAAATATGGAAAAAGGATCTGGCATGCTGATAAGTGAGGCATATAGAACTCCAACTAGCCATTACCAAAATAAATCTACACCTAGACATATAATAATCAAGAATCTGCACCTAGACATATCAAGATCCCAGAAATTCAGCACAAAAACAGAATATTAAAAGCTGTTAGAGAGAAAAACCAGATCACCTATAAAAGAAAACCAATCAGAATTGGGGCAGACTTGTCAACACAAATCAAGTCAAGAAGAATTTGGAGTGAAGTATTTCAAATCCTGAAAGAAAACAACTTCAACTCAGACTGATGTACCCTGCAAGGCTATTGTTCAAAATTGATGGAAAAATAATATACTTCCATGATAAAGAACAGCTGAAGAACTTCATGACCACCAGACCAAACCTACAGAGAGTGCTGAAGGATATTCTAGAGAGAGATAAAGATGTCCATGGTTCCAGGAACAGTATCAGAGAGAGATTGTCAAACAAGACAGGCAATTGAATGAAGAAGAATAGTGGAGAGCCCACAGCAGGAGGGTAGCAGGGCAGAGACAAACCAGTGTGTGCTGGTTGTAAGCATTAGTGCAGCGAGCCTCAATTCACTAATGAAAACAAACACAGAGTAGATCAAGAAACAATATCTATCAATATACAGTATACAAGAAACACATTTAACTGAAAAAAAATCCATAGACTGAAAATCAAAGGAGAGAAAACAATTGTTCCACAGGACAAGAGACCAGAAAACAAAACCAAGGATAACTTGCCCATCAACTGCAGAATAGATAAGAAAGATCTGGAATTTTCATAAAATGGAAAGCTACTCAGCTATGAAGTAGGATGAACTCAAGGCTCTTGTATGTAAATGAATGCAACTGGAGATCATGCTCATAAGTGAAATGGTTTGGACTCATATGGATGAACACCAAGTTATCTCTCTAGCATAAAAAACTGAAGAAGTCAATGGGATCCAAAAAGCCCAATAGATATTATGAAAGTGATAGGGAAGGGAATGCCTAAAAAGGGAAAGAGAAAACCATTGTTAATTTCCTATTCTCTTGTTTTGAATTCTTGTTTCATTTTCATAAGTTTGTTAGGTTTGGTTTTATTCTGTCTTATTTTGTTAGATTTTATTGTGTGTGATGATGTGGACAGATATTTTGAAGAAAACAAGAGACAATATTGTAGCCATTGTTGATTTCCTCTTATCTTATTTTGAAGACTTGTAATGCTTTCACTCTTTCATTTTGATTGGTTTTATTTTGTTTTGTTAGATTTTATTGTGTGTGATAGTATGGACAGCTATTTTGAGGAAAACAAGAGACATTATGGTAGCCATTGTTGATTTCCTATTGTCTTGTTTTAAAGCCCTGTATCACTTGCATTGTTATATTCCAGTTTGCTTTATTGTGTTTTGTTTTGTTTTATCTTATTCTCTTTTAAATAAAATTTAACAAAAATATACTACAAAGGTATTGTGACAAAACAGCATGGTATTACAAAAAACAAAACAAACAAACAAAAAAACAACACCAAACCTGAGGATCAGTGGAACAGATTAGAAAATACAAAAACAATTTCATATTTAACTACCTTCTCTTTGACAAAGGATCCAAACATATTTAGTAAAAGAAAGATTGCCTCTGTAATAAATGGTGCTGGAAAAACTGGCTTTCCACATGCTGAAGACTAAAATAAGAGCCATGTGTCTCACCAAAAATTAAACTAAAATCAAAATGGATCAAAGATCTAAGTACTGAAATGGAGACACT